GTATGTATGTATGTATGTATGTATGTATGTATGTATGTATGTATGTATGTATGTATGTATAAGCGGATGGATGGACGGATTAATGGATGTACGGTAGTGGCCCGGTGGTAACATCGCTGAGTTTTCCTACATGATGGCGTGTGTTGGAATCCCACGACCAACACTTGACGTTCTGCATTGTACGCTGCATGGCAGCCGTTTGACTGGCCGCTACCCGTTCATGAAAACTGCATCATTGTGTAGTCAGTCACAGGAAGCAACAATGATATGAATTGAAGGATGGATGAATGGATGAAGGTTGTATGGGATTAAGGAATGATGGATGGAAGAGTGGGTAATTTTATGTACGTATGGAATAGAGTTAATGGAAATATTTTGTTGCGCTTCAATTGTGTAACCGACCGAATGAATCTTCGAGCACATGTGTGGTATTCGAATGGTAACAAAGTGGGACAGACACACATAAATACATGGAACAGATAATCGGGATTGCCACTACAGGGAGACAGATGGACGAGTGTGAGCATTCGGCTATGAAGATCGAGACCGTGTTCACAGGTGTGTTCGGTTTTCTCTGTTTGTGGGTTTTTGGCTATCGGTTATGCTTGGATGCGTGTTTGACTGTGTGTGTCTTGGTGTGTGTGTACGCGCGCGAGAGAGAGTGTGTATATACATGTGATTGTGGGATAATGCGAGAGTGCATGCCGGTGTGTGTGCTTGTTGATGAGTTCGATTCGGACATTGGTTGTCTCACTCACCTTTGAATAGTACACTGGTCGCATCTATGTCCACTGTCCGTTTTGAATCGGATTGCACGGTTGGTTTCACACTCAACTGATATTGTGTACACGGTTCCAGGTTGATCGGTTCTATCGTCTGGTCATTTGTTTTCCATGTATCTGAGTAGATTTGTTCTTTCGACACGACAGCAGTGACTGTGACCGCATATTGGACTCGGTCGCACGAATCTTCTTTGTCCCACTTCACGTGCAGTCTGTTCCCATCCGTTTGTACTTGCAAGTTTTTCGGTTTGCTCAGATCTGTAAACCAATTCACGGAGTGGATTACCATTGATCTAATTAATCGTTTTTCGAATGAAAAATGCTAATTTGTAATAAATTCATTGCTCATTGGTTTATTTGCATTGTTTTCTTTCAGTACTTCACTGTCCGTATCTATCTCCTTGAAATGTGGCAGAATGTTTACGGATTTTCCTACCTGTATGGGAATGATTTGGAATGATTTTGTGCGCACACAACAAGGCGAGAATATCTGAACATTGTCTGGCTGGTCTTTGCAAAGGAACAGTGAGAATCTTGAACAGCTCAGTCCTGCAACATTTGGTCGACAGTGGACACTGGATTGACCCAGAAACATCATTTGCAAGTTTCTTCACTGCAGTTAAGAATCACACCAAAGGATTATGTAAGAAGATCCTAACAACTGCGTGAGCCATAGCAAGTAGGATCATGAAGTCGGAGTTGTGCAAGCAACGTAATCCGGTTCAGGCGCGGCTGTTACCATGACCAGAAGAACAATTACCCATATCTCTATGTGACGCCTTCTATTCTCTCCCTCCCAACACGACTCATTTACTGTCATTTTCGCACACTTTCACATGTTTTATTCATTCTTGGATAACACTTATCATATCATGTCCAGTTCACACATTTTCACCCCGATTTGCCCTATCCAATTATCGTGATCCCATCGCTTGTTGTCAACCAAACATTTTACGCACAGACATTCACTTAACTTCAGCCTCAGCTTTGTATTAGCCTATTGTCTAATCGAACTATATATGTAAATGCCTGAAGCGAGATATCGAGAAGAAAATTCTTCGCGTTTCCACTTTATTCACAAGCATCAATGGGAATGTTTCACGATTCTCTTAATCATTGGAAAGAACAATCTGCTCTACTAAGGAGAGACATGTGAGCAAGATTTATTTATCCCGGGCGTGTTTGTATGATGTTGTTACGGGACTAGCAATGGAATGCACTCCACTGTTTGAATTGGAGGGGAGCTGAGTAATCACTCATTGCTTATTGTGAATATTATAGTGTCAATAACACATGGATGTCGGTAGAGAAATATATTCGCGACGTTTCTGTTACCGTGGGTAACCTTTCTCAAGGAAGGTTTTACAATAAAAACCTGTCTTGAGAAAGTTTACTCACGGTAACCGAAACGTCGGCGAATATAATACTCTACCAACATCACTGTGTTATTAACGCTATAACATTGACAATAAAACAACACATGGTGCATCGATTTTTCGATACACTCCTAACATAATTTGGCACTGATTGCTTGGTTGAAAATCCTATATGTGCGAGAATTGGTTCGACCTGATCACATTAAACTTCCTCAACCATCACATCGCATCGATCTTTCGCACTCGCTTCTGTCAATCATTTCAAAATCTCCCTCAGTCCCACTCTGATTCATTTGATTCGAAAACGGTGTGTGGAAAGGATTTTGCAGTTCTGGTCATCATTGTTAGATTTGATGCTGTAGTAAGTAATATATGATGGTGTTTTGTGGTATGACGTTTCGTTTGACGTTTGTTACTCACCTGCTGAAGGCCAGTGTGCAGCACTGTCGACAAAAGCTGTCTTACCAATGTGATTGGTACTCCGTACACGAAATACTATGGGTTCACACGCCACGACGTTGGATGCATATTCGGCCCACTTCTCTGTTCGACTTTGCCTCGTTTCGTTTGCTTTGCCTTTGATTAGAACGATGTATACATTGCCCGGACACGGATAATCATCTTCCCATGTGACACGGATTTTCTCATTGCTTTCTATCGCACTGATCGCTCGTGGTGCAATGGGGGCTGTGATTTACACGGGTGAGGGCGAAGAAGAATAAGAAGAACATGGAACGAAACACAAAATGAGACGAGAAGTGTCAGTCACGTGGTCAGTGAGTGGATGAGCACAATGGGTAAAATAAAACGCACAAGTCCGGACGGGATTTGGTGCATGCATATGTGAATGTGACGGACAGAGAACGGCCGAGTCGGCTTGCTCTTCACGTCCCTCATACATGATTGTGCTGAGTGTGTTGCGAAGGAACAGTACGAATTTGATTGATCAATTGACTGATCGATTTCATGTCAGCTCGTCTTTGTTCAGGCAGAGGCAGGCGGTTGATAATGACGATGTTCATGTTGCTGATGATTTAGGTAACGCGAATTACCAACAAGAATAAGTTTGTGATAAGGCTGCTAGATAGCGAACAGTGCTGATTGAAAAGTGAATCACATGGTATGCACGGGAAGAGAGTGAGATTTGTGCTATCGCTTACCACCGGGTTGACTGGCCAATACCTTATCGGCAGTGATTTTCCGCTTGGTCCCGTCCTGACCGTAATGATGTAGACTGACATTATAGGTTTTGCATGGATCAGCGTTTGCGAACATGCTTGCGACATCGTCGGATGGTGAAATATTGATCAGTGGTGGATCGTTGGAATCGGAGGACAATGCGAGGATCTCATATTTACTCACATTCGTATGCGGTAAATTCCAGTCCACTGTGATCACGTTATCCGTGCGTACGGCGTTCAGAGTGACTGTGGGGTAGACATGGACAGATTCATGGCTAGGCAGATGAATAGGTTAATAGACTGTTAGTTAGATAAATAGATAGAAAGATCGATAGATAGACGGATACATAGATGGACAGCTGAACTGATAAATTGTTATATGGATCAATGGGAGGAAGGAAGTTAGGACGCGTTGTTTATTGTCTCATGGTTTGCTTGCTTTGCACGAGTTAAGAATATGCGTGCAGATTTGTTTGCGTGTTTGTGCGTATTTGTGTCTTATTTGTGATAATTGGTCTTAGATGAATCACACTGAATGATTTGGCCTGCTTGGCCGAATTCCCCAGTTAAAGCTGCAATTGCAAACTACTCAGCGGGATTTTGTTTCTGTCGTTGAAACTTAGTAGACGCGCGATATCGTTGACTCTGTATTGCACCTACCTGGAATGTCAGTGCTGAAAAGTGGTCGTCATATACGCGGTGCCGGTGTACTGCTATATATTCGCAGCAATTTTCAATGCGAACCACTTGATCTCTTCGATGCTGCCCTCGACATATTTTGGTGTTCAATGAAGCTGTTCGAAAATGGTATTTGTTTGATCGATGTAGTCTATCGCCCGTCTGCAAACTAAGACTGAACTAACAAGGCACTATTGAGTAACTCTCTGTTTGTGATGCTGGTCCTTTGAATTTGGTCGTGTTATTCTTTTTTATTGCTGGAACTTGGGCTTTTTGCATCATGTTTTATTTTTGGATTTACTTTCGTATTATTCACCTTAGTGGCCTTAGTGAATGGACTGAACGCGCTGAATTTAATTTTCACACGAGTGTTCGTGGAAGTGATCGACGACACTTCGTTACGTGGTTTTGCTCTTTTTTGTGGGTAATTGAGTTCAACTGATCACCAGAAATGGATTTTGCAAACCGGTGAAGAAACGTCGTGCTGGCCGTAAAGTTTCACGAGAGCACAGAAACATGAAGACCATTGGTTTTCCCATCATTTTTCCGTCGAATGTCTGCGCGATTCTCTCAAAGTTAAGAGAAATCGGTCTTCTGATTGGAAACGGGGAGTGCTTCAACAGTTGCGTGTTAATTTTCCAAAATTCTTGATTACAAGTATCGGTCGAGGATGTATTGGTTGAGATTGAAGAGTTGCATTGATTTCGTGCAGATAGACCACGAGGAAGGAAAACAAAATGTGGCGCTGTCATTACATATGTGCATCAGTCGTGGTTGATGCAGCTCTACCGAATGTATATTTACTCATTGTACACAAAACATTTCTTGTATTACTGTGGAATGCAAATGGCGTTCTCTCCTGTTCCATTCTCCGATCATCATTTCAAATCTCTATATCAGTCCTGACTGTAATGCTAGTTAGCTATTTAGCTATCTATCCTGGATACATTTTATCCAATGTGTTGCAGAAGTCTGTGTGTGTGTTGCTGGCGATTTCAACATGTCTTTTCAGAACATTGCTTGTCTTTTCACTTGGAATGATGTTCATTCGGAAAGGTTTTTCGTTCAGGAACCATCTTTATTTCGTGCATTCAAGCGTGCACCAGTAGGTAATTCTGATCACTGTCTGAATAAAGTTTCACCTATGATATACGGTAAATGCAATCAAGAAATCGTCATGAAGAACAGTGCACGCAAGAAGACACGTATACGACAACATCCGCAGGCCAATTCAATGGAGTTCGAATCCATGGTTGCCTTTATCGACTTACAACTACTTTCCGATCCCGATATTTGAGTCTTCTGTGAAAACCTCATCAATTATCTCAACTGTCGTCACGATGTGTTCTGCCCTGGATTTGGAATTCAACTGCAGCCCAACCGCTTCATCTCTGACAGACTGAAATGGTTACGTAGGCTGAAAGAGAAGGCGTATCGTTCTGGAGATAAACTGTCTGCCTGATGTGTCAACTTTCATATGTGAAGCGAGTTTGCCCATCTTAATCAATTGTATTTTGACACCGTACTAGGGGACAAATTCTACCGTCAGCTATGAAGTGGACTGCAATTGCTCTGCGGTCGTTCACCTCGGCCTAATGCTGTCTCATGTGACATCTATGAGCTCAACACATCTTTTGCTACATTGAACAATATTATGCAAGCATTACCGAGACCAAGTACATCCAACGTCACTTGATCTCCATCCTCTTGCGACTGCCACAACCGAGCACGTTTACACGGAGTTGAATGCTGCCGACAGAAATAAATCGCCCGGTCCTGACGGATTGTCCCTAGTGGTCCTAAACACATGTGCGAACCATCTCGCACAAATTGTTCCATTCATCTTTAATAAATGTCTGTGAGAAGGTAGACTAGTTGACACATGGCGTGATGTTCGCATCACTGCAGTACCTAAGAGAGAAAAGGCTAAGTTTTGGCCTATTGCTTCATCCTTAGTATTACTCAAGACTTTTGAGCGAATTATTGTTAAGTATCTATCCTCTTCTTTTGTTTTTTTCTCATTCCAATCAGTTCGCACATTGTAAGCGTCGCTCTGCTTTAGATGCGGTTGATTGTCTTACACATTCTGTTTCATTCACTATAGACCAAAAACACAAGGTTGTTCGTGTTTGTTTGTTTTTTGAACTACAGAAACGTGTTTAACTCTGGTGACAGAAAACCCCGATCGAGACTGTTACGGCAACATAATCTCCCGCCATATATTTTGAATTGGATGCATGACTACTTTACTGACTGACGCCAATACACTTGTCTTAAAAGTATTAGGCGTTGCACTGTGAATGTGAACCAAGTTGTATTGTACAGATCCACTTTATCCCCTCTTCTCTTCCCTCTTTAGATCCGAAACTTGACAATCATCCCAAGTGTTTTCACATTTTCATCTGTCTATGACATGTTGGTAGGCGGTGCATCCAACAACAACAACAACAACAACAACAACAACAACAACAACAACAACAACAACACGAACAACAATAACAACAACACGAACAACAACAACAACAACAACAACACGAACAACAACAACAAGAAGCAGAAGAGCAAGAACAAGAACAAGCCTATATCTACCCGTTCGAACGAAATTTAACTAAATCTATCATCGACTTACATCCTATGTATAATTATGTGAAGGAGTCTACCGGATTCGGAACTGGCCACTTTCCACCAACACTGGACTTGGTGTTGACGAGTGAGGAGCTTACGGTGAAATCTGTCGAAATCGCATGTGTATCGCATGTGTATTACCGCGGATCGCTCTCCGTAGGTACATGGAAATCAGTTATTACGGCGTGCTTCAGTCGATCAGAATGTGTGAGTTATTGTTCGGGAGGATCTAGGATGTTCCGCACATTGCGTTACAGCGTGATCAATGGCCCATAAATCAGTTGGATTGCAGAGACGTAATCTTTGATAGTTCGAGGCAGACGGATTGGTAGCAAATCTGCGGACTCTATTCATTCCAATAGCGCCGAATCCGGAGAGATATGATCCTCGTATATGAAATACCAGATCAAATTAACCTCCTGTGTAGTACTCTGTTAATACCAGTCACAAATGGAAACCTCGTTTGACATCTCTTTTAGCTTTTCTCCCAAAGAGTTGGTTAGACTGCAGGCATCACTGTTTTGGCCTCAGAGTATGTAGTATGTGGAACTCTCTTCCCCCTCAAATTGTGATTCATTCAAGTCATGCATGGCTCGACAAAGCACGAAACACCTAACTGCTGAGCATTCGTGAGTGAACGTAATAATTTGTTATTCGATTGCACTACCAACCGAACACAGTGTGTACAGATCCGGAGAGATTGAATAAGCATCAGGTTTTTAAATTAGACATAATAAAAATGTGCAGATGTTCAAAAGTGGTCGAATAATTCTCGCTACAATCGGCTCGTTTTTTGGTAATGTTTACTCGTAGCTAAGGTGGATCTGTTCTGTTATACAATCTGTCTGGACTCTGTGGAATCATTCATTTAAACAGCGAATACTAGTATGCGTTCTGAACTATGCAGTTGGAACCGTCAGATTGATGCCAATCGCGACCGTTCGATTCCAATAAGCCGTGGTAATTCTTTAGACTAGCACTATTGCAAGCTGCGGATATACAGAAAGGGAGAGAGAGAGAGAGATGGAGAAGTGTTAGGTAAAAAGACTATTTTTACCTAAAACTGACTATTTTTCAAGTGTCTGCAATTCGGAACATCTCCAATCAATACCAATCTCGCGGAGAATAATCAATCATATCGCGTCATGCGGAGACATTCACTCGGTCCGTCCGATCCGTGATCGATTGAAATTCGCTCACTCCGTGACTTATGATCGATCGAACTTTGCTAACTGTACTTGATTGGCATAACCTTTTATCGCATTAATCGATGCCATTTTGAGACATATAAGCATGAGAGTAAAACTTGTGACTTAACTTGCTTTCCTGTGTGTCGAATACACGTTCGCTGTGCATGAACTGTGTTCTTGCTTACGTAGCTGGGAGAAGGCTACTAGTGCTCGTGGCGTCCAATCTGTGCTGTGATCGTACTCGTGAGGCTAGACGAATAGTGTGGCCGTTGAGGTACGTGTGTTCCTCGTGTGTCATCGTGTGATATCTTGCTGTGTGTATACTGTGATCAATCAACGAGATCCGGACACAACAAGAAAGGAGCGAAATTATAAGCACCTGATTGCTCTTAGCCACAGAATCGAATTGATGATCCATACGTGTTCTTATCGTATACACTTTGGTTGGATTTGGTTCCTATTTCCAAACGAATTTGACCGAAAGTGCAACTGCACTTACAAGTCTCGTTGTATTGTTCGATTTGATCAGTGTTCAGTTACTGTGCTTTATTCATTTCTTCTGTGTATGTGTGTGTGTGTATGTGTATGTGAGTGCGTGCGTGCGTACTGAAGTGTGTGAACAATTGGCAGTTGGAAAACACGGCAAATACAGGGGTAAAGAATGAGTTGCAACTACTCACTCGATCCGAATGTGGTCGGGTGTGGTTCCGAGTTCGGACCATATCCGTGTTCGGTTTGTGCTTGAGCCACCACGATACATTGTACGCAAGATCGGTTCAATGGGATAGTCTCGGTTGGTGATCCCGTAGTATGGCTGAGAGTGGAATTGTCTGGATATGCGATTGTGATTCGATAGTTTGTGATTGGATCACATGTGTCCATTAGTGCTCCCTCCGCTTCATTGGTCCTCATTGTAACCGTGATTGATTGGTTCCCCTCGTCTGTTTGTGTGTCTGTGTCGATTAGTGCACGATTTGTGTTGTCTTTCAGTGCGGATATGCGCAGTTGTGGCGGGACTGCAAACGCGGTTGTCATTCCCGTGCCCCATGGTTTCCGTTTGTTTCCCAGTTTCCAATCATGGCGTGTGAATGGAACGGTGGGTGTGGGCGTGAGGGTGGGGATGGGAGTGGGAGTGAATGCGTTAATGAATGCAACGATAGATTTGCCAGTGCTCTCTCTCTCTCTCGGTCTGTTTCGTCTATGCTATGTGATA